GTTTGACACTTGATGCACTTAAAAAGACACCTGGGAAAGGTCTTTCCTTTGAATGCAGATGGTGCTGGTAGTGGTGGTGCTGAAGCATGAGATGTGGTGGTGGTGGTAATGGTGATGGTGATGGTGGTGATGGTGGTGGTGGTGGTTATGGGCATGGTGGTAGTGGCGGTATGATTGTGGTTGTGCATGATTTTTCCCATTTGAAGCTGGAAGTGAAGATCTGCCTTGCCTAAAAATGCGTTCTACCCCTTCCTTGTTGTATGCAGTATGGGAAAACCAAGCGGAGATTCAACCAGGAGTTCTACGAGAAGCGCGAGTGGCTGACGGCACCGGGAGAGGGAGCGCCACGCCTGCTCTGCTGGCCAAATTAGGGGCAAATTAAGCGTGGTGATAACTCCTTGGGGTACCTCGACTCCCACCTGGCCACGACAGAGTGCCTAACCGGTCACGAGGGGCTGGCGCCGCCACTGGTGCGCAGTTGGTTGGCGGTAGGCGGCGACGGAAATGAGGTACTGGGCCGACGTGGGTAGGGTAGTGGAGCGGCGCAACCTCAGTCGGTTAGTGGCACAAATCGATACACCGAGCGGCCCGGCGGTGGCGCAGATTGCGAGGTTATTTATTTCTGCAACAGGCGTGGCGCGGATTGCTGCTGCCCGAAAGCCAAATGTCATTTTGCCCGAAGGCCGAATATTTGAATTCATGGCAAACGTGTTCTACAACGGTTTCATCGCACACAGTTACATTTGAGAATTCGCCGGTCTAAGGAGCTCACATTTGTGTGTGAAAAGTCCACCTGCACTCTGCAGTCATTGCTAGCTGCATAATAGCACAGCTGAAATAATGCACCTTGGCTCCCACCATCAGTTCGTCTGCGCCCACTAGCACACAGCCTGAACGGCTGCCACGTGGCGCGGCGTTGGCCTCTCTCCTCTCAGCTCGGTCCTCTCAGTCCTCTTCTCTTTTCTCTCAGCTGCAACACTGCACGTTACAGTACCGTTGCAGTCCTCTGAGGCTCTGGGCTGACCGGTGCACCGTTGCAGCCCTCTGCGGCTCCTAGATCACCGACTGGAGAGCCGGGGTGGACCGTGTCCGGTCCGTCGGCCGCAGAGAGGGAGCGCCGCTACTGATAGGCGCGATTGGTGCGCGTGCTGACCACCAGTGCTGCTGGGGGAACTGCGGGCTGGGTCAGGGTGAACTGAGACGGTTCGGGGAAGGAGGGTGGCCGCGAGAATACCGAGGGAGTTGAGGTAGGCCACGATATAGGAGTTCGAAGAAATGCTGCGGGGATTAGACGAGTTGTGAAGGTTACTGCAGCTTCTCAATGGATGGTCTTCGCGGAACGCGTTCTTTTGCCTTGCAAGGAATTGCGGCCCTTTTTCTAGGATAGCTTCACTCGGCTGGTGCTGATATCATTTGCAGACTGCGACGTTTTCCTGCGTGGTTGGGGATCCCCTTATCAACAAATGACAGGACGCGGAGCTTACCACAAGAAATTGATTGGCTGCAGAGGGAACTTTTACGGCGGATGCATCATGCATTTGCGACTGCACATACACAGGCTGTTGATAAAAAGAAGTTAACACAAAAGGAGCGCGTATATGACTAACAACGTGGCTTCGGGGGTACCCAAAGCCAGCCGTGGTTTCTGTCAGCTCCTCATCATGCCTGGTGGCCGCCACGCCTTGGGTCAGCGAGCTGGACTCGTCTGTCTGCCGGTTAGCGATTTGGACTGGACGTGGCCGACTGTGAGCCTCTGTGCCGCTCCACCACTCGCCGTGGGAGCCGAGTGGCCAGACGCGGGTAGCGGTCCGCGGCGTCTGACCGTCGGAGTGTGCTGCTTCAGAGCGCGTACGGATACGGAACGGTACTCAGGTTCCTGGTACGCAGAGACATGTATCGGCGGAAGTGTGGAAGGTGCGTGCACGCTGGCACTGTGAAATGGCTGAGAAATCATTTCTATATAGGCCTGGTATGCGGGCGCGGCTGGTGCCAAAACCCAACATATGCTTGCCCAATGCTCAGAATTTGATAGGCTTGTCATGCGTATTGCGTAGCATTGGAAAAGCGCTCATGTGTGAAGAAAAGCTCCTTGAAAAGGTGTTATTTTGTCGGTCCTATGATTAGGACCAGCGCGATGAATCCATCACCAAATTCATTAAACCATCCACAACTTCCAACGTCATTGGCCGGTTTGTTTACAAAACAAGCGGAATCACAGGGCGCTATTTCCACGTTTGTAAACACGGGCAATTGATGTGCCGTCTCCTCTCTGGGGCTGAGATCCGTCTCCGATCGGGGCCTCGATGAAAGACAGTGTGGTTCGTGCCAACCTTCCGTCGTATCGCGGGCTGATGATATAGTTGGTGTCAGGGCCGGGCTGACCGTTCGGTGGATCCCCCCCCCCCTCCCCCGGAGCGACCCCCCAAGAGCGCGTGACCGTCTTGGCACCTCCACCCAGGTTGGGGGAGAGCCGGAATTCATCTGACGTGGGGACTAAGGCCGCCCTGCCTCAGTGCGTCGGCAGGATTCAGGTCTGATCTGCCAGATCGCGGGCTAAATGAAGGTTCCGCCGCAGCGGCAGATGTTAGTGGTCGGTGCGAGGCATAAGGACGCCAGCTGGGACTATATGCCGGGTACAAAACCCAGCGGTTTGGTTTGAAGTCCGTTACATGGCTTAGACGCCGCGGGTTTTTGCTGGTGTCAGTGGCTTGAGCCGGCTGAGGCTGAGCGTCTGTACTGGAGTCTTGTACGAGCTGATAGTCTCAATAACAGCAGTCTGGACAATGCATTGGCAAGCAAGCCTCCACCCAATTGTGTGAGCTCAGTCTCAATAACACAGGTTAAGACAATGCATTTGCAGGCAGTTCTCCACCCACTGTGGTTGATTGTTCCCTCCCTGTGGCGTCCCTCCCCGACGCGCCGTCAGCTTTCTGACCTCAGGCAGGTATCACATGCCCGCCATGTCAGCGCAGCGGGGCCCGCGCCGCGCAATGCCACGTGCCACTGCGCCGCTCCGCCAGCTCATGGGGGTCATTGCGACGCCGTGAAGCCCAGCCCACGTGAGCTGACCGCGACCCGGCGTCAGCTGCCGCCGCGGCGCCGGGGCGAGCGCTGATTGGTCGGTTCGGCAGTCACGCCACCTGCGTACTACCGGCAGGTCGGCGGCCGAGGGGCCACGTGAACTCGGCGGGCCCCCCGGTCGTGAACAGGTGTGATATAGGTGTGACGGGCGGGGAAGTTTTTATTTGCAAGGACGGAGGAGTGGCCGACATATTGATGTAAGGACGGAGGAGTGGCCGTCATGTATAATACAGCGGAGATGGTATTATGCACTGAGGCGTAGGCATACGGAAAACTGGGCTATTGCTCATGCAATTCGGGCAGCGACACCACCTGACATCAGATGTCGCCGACATCTGATGTCAGGTGGTTTAGTGGGCACCCCGTCATGCATAAGGCGTGTCTGGGCGATTATTGTAGCTAGGCTCGGAGCTCGGGGGTCGAATGGCGCGACGCGAACGATGACCCGTCGGACATTCCTTGGGAGGCCGGACGGCGTCTGGAATCCAGTCTGGGAACTGGTACTGGATCCGACCGGAATCCAGCCTGGAACTCGTACTGGATCCGGCCGGAATCTCCGGACCGTCCGCCCTGCCATGGCGCCGGAACTAGTCGCTTCCGGACTGGAGGAAATGGGCACACTTCGGGGGGGGGGGGGGGTGGAGGCATGGATGAAGAATCCATGGTGGAGGCAAGGCACGAGTAGATTTCACCACAGGAAAGACGGATTTCTTAAGTATTATCGTCGTTTCCTCTTTTCCCCCTCACTTAGTGTCTCCTTCCGTCTTACTCTTAACTCACCTTCGCTCTCCGTCTCCTCTTTTTCTCCATTCTCGTCAGCCTTCTCCCTTCTTGCCCCATCTCTCCTCCCACCATTTCCTGACCTGTGTCGTCCCCGATCCCCGCTCTCCTTCGGTAATTACCGGTAATCACCGCCCCCAGTCCCGGAGACACTGACCTGTGCTGGCCCCACCGGTCCTCCTCCGCCGGCTGCCTGGGGCGCGCTCCGTTTGAACCTCACTGCCCGCCTACCGTACCGGCCGGCTGGCCACGCTACCGGCGCGGCGCCGGCGGCGGGCGGGCAGCAACCACGCGTGAAGCGACCGGTAGCGGCGGCGGCTCCCGGCCGGCTGGTGAGCGGAGCGACGGCGACGGTTGGATGGCGCCGTTGAAGTAATGACAGATGGTTGTTGGGTTGAATGCTAGGATGCCGGTTGGATTGTAGTTGAGCGCACGCTGGACACTGCACCGTGGTGTGAGGGTGATGGGCTTTTCTCAGGGTAGTGATACCGGGAAATATGAATGTGTGAACAGTTTGAGTGGGTGCGCTGCGGCCTGCGATTTGGATGTCCCGAGGACTGGACGTGTTTCCAGTATAGCACGGAGCCTGAGCTCTGTTCGCCCCCCGTTTATTTATCAGCAAGCTGCGAGCATGCTGCTACTTCTTGGCTCCTCATTGGTCGAATTCAAGTGGTCTATTCGTAAGATCAATGAGAGGCCAAGGAGCGCCAGCAATAACTTCCTTATATGGGGAAAACCGACAGCACGTTGATATAAAAACAGCGACCGAACAGAGCTCCAGTCAGCGCAGTGCGCGGCTGATATGGGACGGCGAGATCCGATGACATTCGGAGTGCGACAAATGGGGCAGGGTTTCAGGGGGCAGTTCGGCTATGGTCGGTGACCTGTTGCAACACATTGGAATCCCGGCTTACCTGAAATGCCATGCCAAACACCCTGTTATTGGTGCCGATTTCTACAGCGATGTTTCGTAACTTCAGGCTTTTATTTTCGATGTTTCCCACTGACCTATCTGAAATCACGTTACAGCGTTATTTCTGTCTCTTCCTATAGTACAGTCACTTTTCTGTTCCTGCTCTGACGCCCCATGTATGAGTTGTCGATATGCCCCCCTGACGGACTCGTCCCTCGTGTTGCAGGGTCCGGAGCTGATCCGTCGGTCGCGCATCCCGTACAAGGGATCCAAGGATGGCCAGTACTTCAAGTACCTGGATGACAACACCAAGACCATGTTCGACGCGTTTCGGCGAGGCGCCAAATTGTCCAGTGAGTTGGGGCGGGGTGAAACTGAAACTGTGGATGGGGTCAGCGGGGTCAGAAGGCCGTGTCAGAGGCCTGGGAAAAGGGCAACAAGGAAAGAAAGCGCGACCTAAGCAACCGTATAGTTTGATGGTAAAAGTCTGTTGAGTTGCAATTGAGAGTGAAATTGAAATGAGAATAGCATGTGTTTTCGCCTTCCACGGCTCAGTTGTCCCGCAGGTAATCAGCCCACAGCTGTGCCACATATGCTGCTTGTTGTAGTACCTACATCTTTTTTAAACTCGACTGCGCCCTAGATAGTTTCACATATGGTGTATTGACACGGCATTGCCCTACATTTGATCCCAGAAAACGGGTGTCCCGCATCAGAATCGTTCGTAATGACGTGTATATTCATCAGCCCGTATTTTGCCGTTATTGTCATGCGTAACACTCTGATGATTCTCAGTACCAACCCACTGTGTGTCAAGTCGAGTCTCGCCGTTGACGTGCTCCGCGTTCCCTGCGTCCCCAGATAACGGCCCGTGCCTGGGCTGGCACGAGGATAAGGACAAGCCCTACCAGTGGATCAACTACAACGAGTCGCTGCTCAGGGCCAAAAACTTCGCCGCCGGACTGCTGGCCACAGGTCCGTCATAAGGGAGGGAGGGGTGCGTGAGTGAGCTATGAACTGCAGTGTGCCAGTGAGAACGGGTTCAGGAGAAACTTAAGCCTGGTCCGTTGGGGAAGCGGAGAGCGAAATGTTGTTGGATGTTGTCTGTAGTTGTGCTCTACCGTGTCATGTTTGTTGACCCGGTAAATTTGGCCCGGTACCGTCCAGACAGAGCAGCGGGTCGATTTGTCCATAACACACCGGGTCATGTTATTGTCGTTCGTCTTTTGCGATATTTTTTGCTCTCTAGTTAGCGAATATTGATGAAAGTCGTGCCTAAATTTATGATGCATCTAGTGATAATTTAAACTGTTACGGTTCCTTGCCTCTACGTCAGACATCGATGTCTCGTGTCGTTTTGGAAATGTAACGGTGACCGACTGGACGGTCGATCGGTGGGATGGTATCGAACTCCGGTACGATAGCGCTGATGAGGTTATGTCTCTGGGGCGTGGCGTGACAAGCCGCATTTAAAGTCGTCACTGAACTGTCTGGCCGCACACGACCGTATTGAGTGAACAGAGGCGTGTATTGACCGTCCCGGTTATTGCATCGCTCCTCTGATTACCTCAGTAAATCAATCGTTTGACTCAACTATCAAAAGAAAAGCTGAAACTAACCCTTGGTAATTGAACGTTGTGGTGATCAGGCGAGTTGAATCCTACATGCCATGACTGGCTGCTTAGGATTTAGGACTTGGAACACCCTACTTTCACCTAGATCCACGCCGTTTCATCCTTCTGACCCCGCATACCCCCTTTCTGCAGGTCTGAAGCCGGGCCAGGAGACGAACGTGGGCGTGTACACTCAGAACTGTCCCGAGTGGGTGCTTACGGAGCAGGGCTGCTACTGCTACAACATGGTCATCGTGCCGCTGTACGACACGCTCGGGGAGGAGGCGTGCACCTTCATCATCAACCAGGTCAGCGGGATGGGGGCATGGTGATGGTGTAATTGTGCTCTTGTTGTTCACCAAGTTATGTCGACGGGGGCGTGACAGGTGATGAATCAGGCAACTCTTTTTATTCCGGAGGAGCTGTGGTTGGTAAACAAGTTTTATATCGAAGAATCACCATTTTACTTACCGTGTCATTTAAGCGCTGCAGTGACATCCATTGTGTCCGCCGGATACTGTCTCAAAACCGAATTACTTATCGCTAGTCGCAACATTTGGGCTTTGCAATAACATTATAGTTAGCTTTGGCTCTGCATTCCGACTATGTCCATCTCAGTCCAACATTCTCACCAGAACCAGTACCACTGTGCCGCGTCCTGACACCCGCCTCCGCCGTCCGCCAGGCCAACATCTCGGTGGTGGTGGTGGATAACGACACCAAGATCTCCACCCTGCTGGGGCAGCGGCCGCGCCCACTGACGCACATCGTCAGCACGCGGCCCGTGAAGCCGGAGCTGGTCCAGCGCGCAAAGGATGCCGGCGTGCGCGTGTCGCGCTTCACAGAGGTGGAGAAACTGGGAGCCGCCGCCAACATCAAGGAGACGGTAAGGAATGGAAGGGGATTGGTCAGTGGGAATGGGGAATACGGGAACGTATAAGTATCACACGATAAGAGGGTACCTATAGGTCATTGATCGCTTTAAAGCAGATCTAAAAAATGCACCGATGCTGCTGTACGGAAATGAAGGTGATGCAAGAAGGTATCTGGTATATGAGTATCTGGTAGAAATATGAAGTATAAGTGAAAAATGATTATCTTCAATAAAATGGGCGGTGCCTGCTGAAGTCACTGATATTGACTCTGCGTTCCTAAATGACATGTCTAGCGCCTTTTTAGCCCCCGCTGTAGTGTCTGGTCCCATCTGACTCAGTCTGACGCCATCTGACCCCCCTCCCGCAGCCGCCGAAGCCGGAGGACCTGGCGACCATCTGCTACACGTCGGGCACCACGGGCGATCCCAAGGGCGTGATGTTGACCCACGAGAACCTGGTGGCCGACGTGGGTGCCGTGCTGATCCAGCTGGGAGAGTGCGCGCCAGACCACACCGATACACTCATCAGCTTCCTGCCGCTGGCGCACATGCTAGAGCGCGTCTGTGAGGTGAGCACCAGGGAGAGAATCCCGCCACGGGGTTACAGCAGGGGTTTGCTCGTTCTTTTTTATGGGTACGAAGTTTGGATTAAGATTGTAACTTGGCTTTTGAAGCTTGCATAGCTGCTTTTGTTTTGATGCTGATAGACGAAGCAAGAAGGTCACAACATATATTAATACATATTGTCCGCTATGAGTCACCGATAACATGCTTTGTTGCCTTTTTCATACAATAAGCAGTATTACGGATATTCATCGCACCGTGTAAACGTCTTCTCCCTCCGTTTCCGCCATTCACTGCCCCCCCCCCCCCCCCAGCCCCTATCCTTCTCACGCCACTACCTCCGTCCTGGGATGACCCCCTGTGTCTCTGGGCTGACCCGTCTGTCCTGGTCTGACCCTGACCCCCTCTGACCTGGTCTGACCTCTGCCCCCCCCCCCCGGCAGACGGCGATGTACATGCAGGGCGGCTCTGTGGGTTTCTTCCTGGGTGATATCCGCGCGCTGATGGACGACATGAAGCACCTGCGGCCCACTCTGATGCCCGTGGTGCCGCGGCTGCTGAACCGCATCTACGACAAGGTCTGGTCCAACGTGGCCGGCAGCAAGTTCAAGACCAAGATGCTGCAGTGGGCGCTGGACGCCAAGGAAGCCGAGATCAAACGGTGAGACCGGGGGCCGAGATCAAACGGTGAGACCGGGGGCCGAGATCAAACGGTGAGACCGGGGACGGGAGGGAGGTGTAGGTAAAGGACAGATACCGTCTGCGGCTCTGCCTGTAGAGTTTGGAGGGGAACGACGTATTGAAGCATCTCCAACGCATCCATGTTTTTCATCTCCTACATTCTATTAACATCGAGTAGCTTTGAAGTATGCTGTAGCGGGCTGTTGTGAGGCCAATGCACTGATGTTTGTGAGAGCATTTGTGATACTGTTTGCTGGACGTCTATTGGTTTGATTGAAGTAAACAAGCAAAATTGAGGTGCTGAATGATTGTGGTGCCCGGAATCCATTGCAATTTATGTCGGTTTGTTACGTTGATGAACGTCTTCCATTGAGATGGTTATCTTGGCCCATTTCTTACTCAGCTTTTCTGTTATATCATCCATTTCGAGCGACTCGCTTCCATAAGGGCATAATCCGTAACACATGACTCGTAATTCATAACGACTCGTTTCGTTACAGCGGTATAATCCGTAACGACTCGTTCTGTTCCGTTGTCACAGCGGTATAATCCGTAACGACTCGTTCTGTTCCGTTGTTACAGCGGTATAATCCGTAACGACTCGTTCTGTTCCGTTGTTACAGCGGTATAATCCGTAACGACTCGTTCTGTTCCGTTGTCACAGCGGTATAATCCGTAACGACTCGTTCTGTTCCTCTACAGCGGTATAATCCGTAGCGACTCGTTCTGTTCCGTTACAGCGGTATAATCCGTAACGACTCTTTCTGTTCCGTTGTTACAGCGGTATAATCCGTAACGACTCGTTCTGCTCTGTTGTTACAGCGGTATAATCCGTAACGACTCGTGTCTCGTTCTGTTCCGTTGTTACAGCGGTATAATCCGTAACGACTCGTTCTGTTGATTCACAGCGGTATAATCCGTAACGACTCGTTCTGGGACCGGCTGGTGCTGAAGAAGGTGCGCGACTCGCTGGGCGGCCGGGTGCGCCTCATGGTGGTCGGCTCGGCACCCATGGCCGCCAACGTGCTCACTTTCATGAGGGCAGCGCTCGGATGCACGGTGAGCCAATCGGGAGGGACGGGGATGTTGGAGGGGGAAGGGAGCAACTGAAACGCAATGAGGGATGTTATTCTTGCGATCGGGATTGACAACATTTGTTGCGCGCTGACAACAAAGCTATCTATAATTGATAATAGCGTGGTATTTGATTTCATTGTGATATTTACTTGTGCTTGCCGTTTGGTAATACTGTTCCCCATGGGGTGAGTTTTTGAAGACGTCTTTGCCAACTCCCCTTTTCTCTCTGTCAGGCCATGGAGTGCTATTAACGCTATTAACTCCCCACTCCCACTCCGTCAGGTGCTGGAGGGATACGGTCAGACGGAGTGCGTGGCGCCGTGCACACTGAGTTATTAACTCCCCACTCCCACTCCGTCAGGTTCTGGAGGGATACGGCCAGACGGAGTGCGTGGCGCCGTGCACACTGACCTTGCAGGGCGACGCGCGGCCCGACCACGTCGGTCCTCCGCTGCCCTGCTGTGACATTAAGCTGGTGGATGTGCCCGAGATGAACTACTTCGCCGCCTCCGGCCAGGGCGAGGTGTGCATCCGCGGCACCAACGTCACTCAGGTGAGAGACAACACGGGGATGAGAGGGTGGGGGTAATCATGGGGCGGGGCTAAATACGGTGAAAAGAGGAGAAGGATCACTCCTATGGAAGGGGAAAACTGGCTCGAATGAGGAGATGGGACTGCAGCTCTGGTGGGCAAAAGAGGCCTTAGCTTCATCGGATGATAGACCAAGGAGGGCTATCCCGCATCGGAGTTACCGCGAAATGTGGAAATTGTGTATTCTGATTTCTGAGAAAAGTGCTGATTTACTTTGTTTCCTAAATTCCCGACCTAGTTACTCGGTTCTCGAGAGCCCGCTGCCGGTCGCGTCGGACTGCCGGCTTCTGCCAGTCCCCCCAGTCTGCCCCGCTGACGTCTGACCGTCTATCGATTCTGCCTTCTCAGGGCTACTACAAGAACCCGGAGAAGACGCGCGAGACGATCGACTCGGACGGCTGGCTGCACACGGGAGATGTGGGACAGTGGCTGCCCAACGGAACGCTGCGCATCATCGACCGCGCCAAGCACATCTTCAAACTGTCACAGGTGAGCGGGAGACGAGGGAGAGAGGGAATAGTTCCAATTCGTTAGCTGTGTTCCTCTCAACACCGATTTGTGGTGTCCAAGTAATTGCTAATGTGGTTGACATGTCCCCAATGAATATAGGTAGTAGGTACCATAGATCTAGAAGTGTAAGGAAACCAGGAAATTAGGCCGAGTGATTGTCGCATAGAATATATATGGGAGACTAGGAGGGGTTTTTATCATTTGGCATTATGTCGATGAACATTCGATATTAGCCGTGTGCGTTTTCTCTTCAAAGGGCGATTACGCACCCCGAGATGACCCCTGTCCCACATTCCGAGGGCCAGTGCGTTGACCGCTAGTCCTATATCTGAACCCTCACGCAGGGCGCGTACGGAGTTCCACTGACCTCTCACAGGTGTGTACCTGTCCCCATTGCCCCTCCCCCTTTTCAGAGCATCAACGAACCGTTCAGGCCCCACTGACACCCCCTCCCCTTCCTCAGGGCGAGTACGTGGCGCCGGAGAAGGTGGAGAACGTGTACGTGCGCTCGCAGCTGATCGCCCAGATGTTCGTGCACGGCGAGAGCCTCAAGTCGTCCGTCGTGGCCGTGGTGGTGCCGGACGTGGACGTGCTGAAGGCCTGGGCCACCAAGAACAACGTGCCGGGCACGCTGTCCGTGCTCTGCCAGAGTCCCAAGGTGAAGAAACACATAATGGACGACATGAACCGACTGGCCAAGGAGGCCAACCTCAAGAGCTTCGAACAGGTGCGTGCGTGGGGGGGGGGGATGGGAAGAGGCCGGAAGTAGTGTGGATGGAGGAGACTTGTTTGTATAGAAATTGCGTGAGAAGGGAGTAGGGACTCTGGGTATCGTGGAGGGGACTTTATTTATGATTATTGTCATAGCCGTTTTATGAAAGATCTTTACGATGCGTTGCAGGCCTTCTGAGAGCTGCTCTTAATTCATTCATTTTTGTTTTGATCGTTGGCCTGATTCTCAGTGTAATCGCAATATGACACGATTATCTCGCATAATTTCCCGTGCATCCTCTGATGATATTCCGTCATTTCGTCCCGCGCAGGTGAAGGACATTTACCTGCACCCGGACCCGTTCAGCGTCCAGAACAACCTGCTGACGCCCACGCTGAAGGCCAAGCGACCAGAGCTCCGCAAGTACTTCAAACCCCAGCTAGACGACCTCTACTCCAAACTCACCTGAACGCTGCCCGCGGCCAGACTAGCAATGACAAGTGCGCCGCCCGGCCGCCAGGTGGCAGTCCGAGCGCCCGCCGCCCGGCGATAGGTGAT